TTTGTTCCTTCAAGACACGATGTTTTCTAGGAATACCATTGTAAACAAAATCATACGGATCCCCCGGGAGGATGTCATGTTGGCTCGAAGTATTGACATCAGCCCTAATACAACCTCCTACATGATAAGACATTTCAGTGTTTACAATAGTAATTAATGATTTTTTTCTCTAGATGATGTGAAGTTTAAAAGTCACTCTAACTAACCTCTGAATGCTTCATTGGTAACTTCATCAAAAGATGGTAGAAGTATACCACGGTTACTTTGAATGCCTATGTAAGAAAGAGATCGTAATTTAAATGAGATTTTAATTACTAAAATTGATAAAAGAATCAAAAAAAGAAATGCACGGTTTTACCCTTGAAGTTTTCATGTGTCAAATCCGAACATATTGAAGTCATTCCTTCTGTGCATGTAACACTTGTTCCTTCTATGTTAACACTTGTTCTACTTATGTTATTTTCTTTATTTCGATGATAATAATTTCTGTTAGCAATTTTTCTCTTCTGAGCAATAGTCACTGCACTGACAGGGGTTGTTTCATTGACGTGCAACGTCTCCAACAGGGTCATAGATTGACWACTTTCTTCAMTGTTAGCTATTTTTCTCATTTTGTTCTTYTCCTTTTGTCGTTCATGATATCGTCTATTGTATTCCTTTCTTTTTTCTGCTASAATATCGTTTTACATAAATATATATACAATTGAGTGAATATATCACGATGATAATAATTAAAGTGAGTTTTCCATATACCTTTTGCTATATCTACATCAACTTGCGTTACATCATTATTTGCAATTTTGTCATCACCCATCCCCATTGAAAACTGTAAAATGATAAAAATAAGAAAAATATGGTTTGATTTGTGAAATAAAGTGTAAAGGTTGGAATTGGAATGAACAAAGTTAGGGAAAGAAATTTCAAGATTGAACAAATTTTAGTAGATACACTTTTTCATCGAACATATCACTCATTCTTTATTGTGTGTCTAATAATTTCCTTAGTCGTTTTAAAAAATAATTCAAAATATATCATTAGCARACAATGAAGAGACAACGATTAAACTTGTACCAACATAATAATACATATAAAGGATACATATAAGTTCACAAATTAAAAAAAAAAGAGACCAATAATACATGATAATGGTAAAACTAATCATATATGTTTATGTCATCAATGTTCTAACGGCATCTGCTTTTGGCATGTGTGGTTCGAACACGATTGTTGTTAACTCCGTAGAAGTCAAAAAATTCTCTGAAAATAATTGAATATAAATTTTTAATAAAATAGAATATGTAACTAATAAAATAGAATNATCATCATTAACACTTTGATTCATGCACACTTCATGTCTAGGTATATTAGAATGCCATCCAGGTTCACCGTTGGGAAAGAACAAAGGATAGGACAACGGGTCATAACAACTGAAGTAATATTGAATATTTTGGCTATAATTAGACCTCCCATACACAACAATACTTCTCTTGTATGCAGTTATGTTGTGGTTGCCTTCAACCCAAATACCAGCAACCTAACATAATTATAGAACTCAATTGATTTAGTTTATGTATCTAATTATATTTCAAAAAGGATAAATCAAATACTTGTATTCAAACCTCTGATGTGGTCGGTCAGTTGTACACCCTTTGGTCAAGTTCCACTGAAGCATTCAAAGTGACTCTGTAGCTATGGAGTTATCCGAGCTCACCAAGGCTTCGAAATGTTCTCACATACGGGTTCATAGAAAAAACACGAGTCAAAATTTCAACGACTTTTCTATCAAGATTTGGTCACTGGAGTCTATGCGATAACTCTATTTCTGAATAATAAAAGTACAACTGTAAGTACCTGGGTTGTCCATCCCTCGACACTAACTAATCAATTTTATGATATACAACTCCATACGCACGAAATGTATATACTCCGGATGTCATGTTCGCCATTGAACTATCCAAGTTTACACCCATTGACGTGAACGAAAAGTTCGTATTATATGCTCGTAAGTTGTGCCTAAACATTTCGCCTAATTCAGATTGCGATGAGAAAAGACTGTATAACTCCTCAGGAATGGGTGAGTATGCTAACTTCGTTTTCCCTTTCATGCAACAAAATGAAGGGAATTCAAATTTAAACCATTTTGCTCCACAAAATTCACATGGATTTTGTTCCTTCAAGACACGATGTTTTCTAGGAATACCATTGTAAACAAAATCATACGGATCCCCTGGGAGGATGTCATGTTGGCTCGAAGTATTGACATCAGCCCTAATACAACCTCCTACATGATAAGACATTTAAGTGTTTACAATAGTAATTAATGATTTTTTTTTTCTAGAGGATGTGAAGTTTAAAATTCACTCTAACTAACCTCTGAATGCTTCATTGGTAACTTCATCAAAAAGAGGTAGAAGTATACCACGGTTACTTCTAATGCCTATGTAAGAAAGAGAATGTAATTTAAATGAGATTTTAATTACTAAAATTGATAAAATAATTAAAAAAAGAAAAGGAAGTGCACGATTTTACCCTTGAAGTTTTCATGTGTCAAATCCGAACATATTGGAGTCGTTCCTTCTGTGCATGTAAAACTTGTTCCTTCTGTGTTAACACTTGTTCTACATATGTTATTTTCTTTATTTTGATGATAGTAATTTCTGTTAGCAATTTTTCTCTTCTCAGCAATAGTGACTGCATTGACATGGGTTGTTTCATTGACGTGCGATGTCTCCAACAAGGTCATAGATTGACTACTTTATTCACTGTTAGCTATTTTTCTCATTTTGTTCTTTTCCTTTTGTCATTCATAATATCGTCTGTTTTATTCCTTTCTTTTTTCTGCAACAATATTGTTTTATATAAATATATATACAATTGAGTGAATATATCACATGATAATAATTAAAGTAAGTTTTCCATATACCTTTTGATCTACATCAACTTGCGTTACATCATTATTTGCAATTTTATCATCACCCATCCTCATTGGAAACTGTAAAATGATAAAAATAGGAAAAATATGGTTTGATCTGTAAAATAAGGTGTAAAGATCGGAATTAGAATGAACAAAGTTAGGGTATGAAATTTCGAGATTGAACAAAATATAACTTGTCATCCTTGTTCTTTTACCTTGGTTGTCTTGAATAAAAGTTTAGTAGATACACTTTTTCATCGAACATATCACTCATTCTTTATTGTGTATCTAATAGTTGCCTTAGTCGTTTTAATTAATAATTCAAAATATATCATTAACAGACAATGAAGAAACAACGATTAAACTTATACCAACATAATAAAACATATAAAAGATACATATAAGTTCACAAATACAAAAAAAAGACCAATAATACATGATAATGGTAAAACTAATCATATATGTTTATGTCATCAATGTTCTAACGGTATCTGCTTCTGGCATGTGTGGTTCGAACACGATTGTTGTTAACTCCGTAGAACTCAAAAAATTATCTGAAAATAATTGAATATAAATTTTTAATAATATAGAACATGTAACTAAAATAAAATAAAATATTTAAAAATAAAAGCAACTTCTTACATACTTTGATTTGCACGAGTAGGCGAATGAATGAGTTTAACTCGAGATGCGTAGATTATAGAATTATCTACGATTGCACGAGTTATCTCCATAAAACTGAATCGTGCAGAATCATACAACCTCATCTTTATTATATTTCCCCTATTATGAGTAATAAAAACGTTAGTTACTATGATAATTTGTNTATAACCTTCATTCCTCACATCACCATGGTTATATTCAATTGCGAAACGATTCAAAGAGAAAACGTTTCCAACCAAGTCCATTTGCTTGTATATTTGAATTAAAGGGTGATGATGAACAATTGCTACCATCTTTCTCCTCTAAAATATAATAAAATAAATGTTAAATATGTTTAAATTTCTTTTACCATGCAATTAAAATCGTGAATTTTTTAACTTTTGTCAAGCTCCATCGTGCATGTACTTTGTTTAACATTGAAAACTCATCAACAATATAAGGGGTGTTCATTTCTACAAGTTTGTTACACTAATCAGAACCTATTTGAAAAATTATAATAATATTCGTATATTATGTTATCTTCGAATCATGCAAACAACTTGTATCTCTAGTGAATCAAGTAGAGAAAGCATATACAGAAGAAATGGATTACCTCTGTTGAATCAAGCAACAACCGATTGAGGAGCAAAATGCTTTCTGGAAATCAAGCAAGAATCCAGTGAACAAATGGAGTACTTCGACCGAGTGGATCAATGGAGTCTTGAATCGAGCAATGGAAGATGGTTAGTTTAAAATGAAAAGTAAAGTCCATGTTTGTGTGTGTGATTAGATCAAAGCTTATGCAAATTTTCATTTGTTATTGACACATGCACAGGGAAAATGTAGTTTTGAATGAGTGATAAATACTAAGGTATTTATAACATGGTTTATGTCAATCAAATATATGAAAGCCAACAGCTTTTAGAGGAAATATATGGTTATTAGACTTAAACATGGACTTAGATGGCAGAGTAATAAAAGGGCAAAATAGTTCTTTTCCATTTCATAATCTAGACACCAAATCCTGGTAATGTGTTTAAGAAATTAAGTCCCTGTCGTCCTAATAACTATGTAAGTGTCTAAGGTATTTATAAAAGGGAAAAATAGTTCATTTCAATAGTTCTTAGACATGAATGAGCCAGGACAGAAGGTAAAATCAGCTTGCAGTACATAAGTTTGTACCAACATAGGGACTGTTTTATAAACTACTTGTCTTCAAATAGTCATGTTAAGGACAAAGATGATGGTTTGAAACACCCCACCTGCAATGATTTTGTTCTCAATTGTTCTAACATAACTACTTGAGTTATAGAACTTGATCAACTAAGTGTTGAATGTCAGATTAGATAATATGCCAGGCCAGAATGCAGATTAGATAATATGCTAGGGCATAATGCAAATTAGAGATGACAGGCTTCTGTTTCAGTTGGAGGTGATGGTGATTACTTGGAGGTGATGATTTGAATAAAGATTTTTACTTGTCAACTAGCTTGCATAATCCCAGCTTTGGAGACATCATGCACCGGCTTATTATATCTCTATGTGCATTAAGCATGCAAAAGGTGCTGTATGAATTACAGGAGGATGTAAGATTAGTACCCTTTCAGGCACAGGGATGCTGTATGATTAGTATTCTTTATGGCATCTGCTTATTAGATCTATGTGTGCATTACAGCAGACACAGGAATGCTGTATGCATTACAGCAGACACAAGCATTGACTTGATGTTTGTAATGTGCATATAAGACTCCATATAATGTGCAGCGCGGGTAAATCAGAATTCTAAAGCATTAGTTTGGCTTTGAATCATGAGTTTGTGTGGTTATTTTGCAAGTTAACTAATATATAAAGTTGAATCATCAGTTTGTGTAGTCGCAATTTTTGCATCGCCCAATAATTTTAACAGTTAATTATGGATCTGCCTATTTGATCTAGAATGACAGTCCAAGACTATTTTTCTAACAGATCTTTGTCATCCCGTGAATAACTCTAATCAAGACTTATTTTTTACAATTTTAAAAAATAAAATTTTAAATTGCATCGATACTTCCAATAAAATGAGTATGAATAAAGATTCAACTGATAAGGATTTGAAGAAGATTCAACTGCAGGATTTAAATAAAAAGACCATGTATGCTTGATGTTAAACATTGGATTACAACTACTTTTCTAATAACCTGCTTGCCATACTATGTAAACTGCTCCTTGCATAAAATAACACAGAAATAGAGATGAAGCGTAAACCAAAACACAGGAACATGTAATGATATTTAGCTACAAAAATGAAAAATAGTGGATGAGAAAGCCACCTGTGTTTCCTTGACAGTGTATCTGGCCAGCAAAGTCTTTTTTTCTTCAGCTGTAATCAGTTGGTGTTCAAGAACTAAAATATGATCTTTAACATTCAACAACAATTCTGCCTCCTGTATTTGAAAAACATAGCATCATTAGCAATTGCATGCTTGCAGGATCACCAAAGGGCAGAAACACGATTAGCAGTGACATGCTAACATCCAACAGGCTTAAAAACAAAGTTGATATACACGTTTGCTCAAAGGTTATTACATATTACATGGCATGTTATTGTTGTCCATTTACCCAAGTTGTAATGATCTGTAGAATTTCATCATCTTTAGTAGCTTTTAAGTTCCTGTATGAAACCATTTTTAGTTTTTTAAATATTTAATTTTGGATTAATCATGTCAATCATTGCCTTAGCAACTGTGTTTATGATAAAGCTATTATTTAAAGCAACTCATTCATGGGCATGAGGTTTGCATTACAACAGACACATGGATGCTGTATGCATTACAGCAGACACAAGCATTGACTTAATGAGTTGATGTATTGTATCTTTTAATGAACCAGCAAGCAGCCACAACTGTTCATGACATGCATTGCAATGGTTATTGACTTACATGGGGCCTGATACAACCACCTCAACTTACTGGTTGAAATGGAGACTGTTTCTGTGTTGTGTATGGATTTGGTAATAGGGAACAATAAATCACTTCAATGAATGGTTATATAGACAAAACATGTGATGCCTCATCATGTAAGGTTCAAGTTACTCACAGCAGGACAAAACAGTTTAATTGACTGTCACCGGCTTATTATATCTCTATGTGCATTTAGCATGCATAGGGTGCTGTATGAATTACAGGGGGCTGTAAGATTAGTACCATTTGCTGCTTGCCTGCATCAAGTAAGGTTGAAGTTACCTACACTACATAACCATGTACAAACTTAAAGGAACCAAACTAACAGTGGACAAATTTGATTTTGGACAGATTCGATAGTGGAAGGGAAAATAGTCAAATATAAAGTAAAAGTCATATATAGTTGTGCACATTGCTCATACATGTAAGCAAGCATGCACTGTTCATAGATGACAGGTTTTTAACACCTAATTTAGTAGTCATTTCCTAATTAGTAGAAAACATATGCTTTCATTAAACTATAATGCAGATAATATGTTAAAGATGATAATGTTCCAGCCCAAATTGAAGAGGTAACAAACACTAGAATGAAAATATGTTAAAGATGATAATGTTCCAGCAGGCACATGGTTATGTATGTGCACAATAGGGTATGTATGTATGCATTGCAACAGCAGCTCATGTCTACCTTACCAATTACAACAAGAATCAAAGGATGGATATGCTATTTGATGTATTTAAAGTTTAAACTACTTCACAATTAATTTTTTCAAACAAATGGCAAAACCCCTTGATCCTTGGAGTTGTGTAGTCAGTTTTAACACATATATTATATGGATGTTTTAACATCGTATCTGCAATCTGGAAACAGGAGGATTGAAACTCTAGTTAAAAACCAGGCAACGGTTCAAACAGGCAGTTCTTACTGGTTAAATATGCTAAACACCATTTCAACAAGAATCTAATGAACAGGGCTAATATAATATCTATGCATACACACACACATAAGAAGAAATGGAAAGAGCATTCTGTTTCTGTATGTGTATAAAATGAAATGGAAACAGTTGTTTATGTTTCTGTATGTGCATAACTCAAACTGAAACAGACCCAAAAACAGCTCCTGACCATAAGGCCATCACCAATCTGTGTGTGTGCATAACTCCATAGGCATGTTCATGTGGATAAAAATATGAACATGTAACARCTGTTTTATCGAAACACACACACATAAGGACCAGTTTGTTGTTTTGAACAAGTCTAGTGTTTTAAAAAATAATTAATGTTGCTACTGTATCTAAACACACACACACAAGAAAAAAATTAGATAAAGTACCCACCTGGAGAAGAATTCTCAATCGTTCCAATCGAGCATAAGCATTTCGTGATCTGCAACATAATGTAATGGAAACATACGTAATTGTGTGAATAAGATGATGGAGCTATTCAGCCACTTCAAGCATCAAACATCAAAACCTTTTAGAACATAGTTGAAGGGACAGATCTGCTTGTATGCATAATATTACTTTTTCATGATTCATCTTCTCAATAAGCAAACAGTGCATTTAGTGAAATACACACTTAAACAACATTTACTTTTAAGTTGAAATGTGATTGACTTGTGTATTGTGTTCCATGTGATCATGCATGTTAAGAGTTGTTGGATAGGTACTATACTATATGCCATTTAGTGAAATACACACTTAAACAACATTACTTTGCATCTTTTGCCAGTTTATAGGAATCCATACAAATGTTTATGCTATTAAAGTTGATATACCCGCTTGCTCATAGGTTATTACATATTAAATGGCATGTTATTGTTTTCCATTGTGTACCCAAGTTGTAATGATCTGTAGAAATTTCATCATCTTTAGTAGCTGCTTATAAGTTCCTGTATGAAACCATTTTTAGTTTTTTAAATATTTAATTTTGGATTAATCATGTCAATCATTGCCTTAGCAACTGTGTTTAGGATAAAGCTATTTTTTATAGCAACTCATTTATGGGCATGAGGTTTGCATTACAACAGACACATGGATGCTGTATGTATTACAGCAGACACAAGCATTGACTTAATGAGTTGATGTATTGTATATTTTAATGAACCAGCAAGCAGCCACAACTGTTCATGACATACATTGCAATGGTTATTGACTTACATGGGGCCTGATACAACCACCTCAACTTACTGTTGAAATGGAGACTGTTTCTGTGTTGTGTATGGATTTGGTAAAAGGGAACAATAAATCACTTCAATGAATGGTTATATAGACAAAACATGTGATGCCTCATCATGTAAGGTTCAAGTTACTCACAACAGGACAAAACAGTTTAATTGACAGTCACTTGGTCAAAGCCTGTGTATTTTATTTTGACATGTTCTCAAACCTGTGTTCTCAAACCTGTTGAGGTACTGGTTCAATAACCAAACTTGATGAACATTGGTTCTGGACAGAGCAGTTTTAACAAATGTTCAGCAGGTTTGGTTGCAAATGAAAAAACCATGTGTATAAGAAAACACAGGGTAAGTGCATTATGCAAATGCAGGTGGTTATACTCCTTATTAGATTATGCAAGACCATTATGCACAAAGCAAGTTTGGCATTATGCAAGAAGAACCAAAGATTAAGAAAGCAAAATTATCAGCAGGAAAGGAATATCCAAATATCACCATTTGGGTCTCAATCATGTGAAATAAAACAGTAGGAACAAAGAAGGATGTGGTTGAGTAGAAAATCAACAAATTTAAAGAAAAAACAAACCCGATTACCAAAATAAAAAACCTTCATATATATACATGATCAAAATCTGATTCATTCCCATGACCAAAAAAAATATCAAAATTGTCAACAAGAATTATTCATTATTTACTTCATGGCAGGCTTTTGGAAACAGCAAGAAGAGAAGAGAATCATAAATCGAACGACATCATCACCAAAAACTTGATTATTTACTTTTGGAAACAGAGAATGCAAACAACAGGAAGAGAAGAGAGTTCATAAATCAATATTATCAACAAGAAGAACCAAGTCAATACCTCAGAAAATTTGGAAGCTGTGGAGAAAACATAACCTCCAAAGTCTGGTTATATGCAGCGATGATCACTTCTTGGCAACAGCCCATTTGTGCAAGGTTTGCAGCCATATGAAGAAATCGTATTTTGACCATACTATTTTAGTTTTGGCGTAGGAAATTTCATGAAGAAGAGGCTGGAAAAGTAGAAAACATAGAAAGCTTTTTGAACTTACCCAAAATGGTTTGTTGGGGAAGGGATTGCGTTGCAAAAATCATGAAGAAGAGGTTGGGAAAGAAGAAATCAGAGAAAGGCTTTTTGACCTTACCCCCAAAAAGAAGCCCCAATATTTGCTGGATTTGCACCATAAAGTCAATGCATCAATAATTTGTACCATATGCTTTGTGAATTGTCCTTAAGAGTTTTTTGAAAATCTTGCATAAAATGGTTGTAACTTATGCTTAAGGACTTGTATTTAAGATAATGACCTAAATGCTTATATATGTAGTATAGATAACTGGCATGAGTCATATTTTGTGTATAATCATCCTGTTAATAGTGCTGAAAAGAAAATACCATATAGAAATAAATGGTTTGGTAATTACAACATACCCCAACCTGATACTAACAAAATAGGACCCAAGTTCTTTTGGGTACCAAAATCTACTTAATCTGGTTTTGCAGGTGTGTCAATTTTGTGCTGATCAGAATATAATTTCAGTGATACACCAATGCAGGGGGAGTTGTAATTTATTTCAAACGAGACTTCTGAAGATTTCAGTTCAGAACTCGTGCTTTACCGAGTGTGGTTTCTAAACACTCAGTTTAGAACCCTTACTTAAAATGTTTTCTTAAATTTTTTAAATTTTTTGAGCTAAATTGAATCATTACTTAAATCTGTTTTGCTAGGGGGAGTCTCTAGAAAATTTTGAATAAATGTTTTTGGAAATGGAAATGTTTTTTGAAACGAGTACAGTTTTTTGAACAGGTATTTCTTGAGATTTTACTTGCGTAATTTCTCGTCGTACATAACTCCAATACCTGTTTCAGCTATTCTTCAAAACTGTTATTATCACGTCTCTTATATGAAAATCTTTTTCGGTGATATTACACTCGTTTGTATTCAATTTTGTTTTCTGATATTTTTTACATTGATTCATATACATTCATTTTTTTTAATATCAGAATCTGTAAACTTGTTCTTACAAATCTTCATTCATTTCTCTCATATACCGAATAATCGAATTATTGTCGCATCATTCTTTCGTCAATTGTGTTTAAAGCCAAATTTCTTGATCAATTTTTTATCTGATCATTGCGCTTTAAAGAAATAATATTTTGATCAACCTTTGTGATCAAATGTGTATAATGCTAAATTTTAGGAGGGACTGAGTGCTTATCAGAAATACCTCTATGGAATGTCAAAACCGACAGACGTACCCAAGAGGACAACCATATCTGAG